ATAGGGGGTGTCAGGTGTGGGTGGGTGGGGTAGCCTATTAGTAAAGATAAATCAGCTGATTTCTAGAAGCCCCCTTACTGACTTGGCTTGTTTTTTCTATAGCACTTTGAATTCTTTTTTACTAAGTGCACCTCAAATTTTTGTAACACATAAATTATTTGTTTAATCAATCAAATGTCGCTATAAAATAATAATACTATCTTTGATCTGCATTTTATTACTTTTTATTTCTTCTGAATTATTATTACTATTGCTCTGTTTATCTAAAATAAAATCATTTAACAATTTAATTGGTAATCCACTAGTTAACTAGAAAGTAATTATAAACTCAAATTATTTATAAAAATTGGTGTCTTTAAATATGGCATATGTGTATCTAAAACTTTTTTTTATACTAAGTTAATTACCTTTCTAACTTAATTAATGATCCACCACTTATCTGAAGAAAATGATCTACATATATTAAATAAAAATGATGCATTTTATATAATAAAATTCTAATATAGAAATATGAAAAATTTTAGTATGTATACACGTAATATATACTGTAATATGTATAAATTAATTAATTTAAAATCTACTATCATAGAAGCATATATGTATCTCTTGGTGACACTTGTATACAAGACCCGGGTCTGTTTATTTCACGATTTTTAAACCTTTTAGTAAACCTGAGTCTAGTACATATTCAAAAGATTATTTTTTTAAAAAAAAAATTTAAAATATATACACTTTATACTTATAATAAACAGCCAAGCTATTTGGAAAAACTATAAGAATTCTGTGGTTCACAACTAGGTTTAATTCATGGTAGGTTTCCCAATAATAGTTGGCATACTACTATAACTTACTGGAACTATAGCAAGTAATATAGCAGATAGCTATAATGCCGTAACTTATTATATTACTTGCTATAGTTGCAGTAAGTTAAAGAACGATTCTACCCATCTCTAGTTTGGGATTTTATATATACATTTTTATATAATTTAAAACTAACTTTGTGGATTTAAATAAATTATTAGAATTTGAACCAATTAATATAGTGTCTTTGGCAATTATAGATTTTTATATTAAATAATAGGCAGAAATGAAGAATTACTTGTGGACTTAAATAAATTGCTAGAAATTGAGCCAAATAATACGTAGAAAAGTTTATGCTAAATAGGCAGATATAAAGAATCACTTGCAGATTTCAATAAATCATTAGAAATTGATTCAAATAGTACAGTAGTACATCAACATTAAATAATTATGGAAAATATGGGGAGATATGAAGAATTACTTGTAAACTTGAATAAATTATTAGAGCGATTCAAATAGTTTACAGGGCCTAGGAAATCGAAATTGTGAATATGTTTATCAAGTGCTACTAATTAGTTTAAAACTTAGAATTAATTAAAGTGTAAAATAATTTAAAGGTCTAATTTTGGCAATAAAAATTATAATTAAAAATTATTTATTTGTATTATTATACTTTTACATACTCTATATGCGCTATAAATATTTTCTAATGTATAGCTAATTCATTTAAGCTTATTAGTATATTATACTCTTTCAAATTGCTAATAATTTTATTCAGCCTATAATTATAAACTATTTATTAATCTATAAATTAAAATCAGAAGTTCACAAACTAAAAACATTAATGCTTGCTTACTATTTATAATGCCTTTCAGCCTGTATATCCATTAACTAGTTGGAATTAAAATCAGTAAGTCAAGCCTGCTTACCACTATATCACGCCCATTAAATTGTACAGATTAAATGAAGGAAAATTAGGCTCTAACCAGTATCATACAACTCTGATATAAACCTAATTTGAAAGGATATGAATTGGATTCATATAGGTATTCAATAATATCTAAGTGCTATTGGTAAATCAATAAAGCTTGCTTTATAGCTTGATACGTATTGAACATCTATATGAACCCGATTTGTATTCTAAAGGTCTCTCTCCTATTTGTGCCAAATATCTATTTCTTATCTGGCAAACTTATATGATCATGGTGCAGCATTGTACTGTTATTTTTTTATATATTTTAATTTAATGCCAAATAACAATATAAATTCGGGCATAAATTTATTTAAAATTCTAAATATTAGGCCAGAAAGTATAATTTTTGACCAGAGTTTTTTTAAGTTTCCAAATATTGGGCCATGAAACATAAATTCTGGTTAGAATTTATTTAAAATTCCAAATATTGGGCTTAAATTCGGGCTAGAATAGTTTAAAATTCCAAATTTTTTGGCTGAGAAGTTCATATTAGAGCCAGAATTACTTCAAATTAGGACTAAATAAAGCTTTTAAATGAATCAATTAAAATTTTACATTTTATGCACATAAAATCATGATTATCTATGCTTTTCAACTTTCATAATTAAAAATTAAAAGTGCAATTATGAAAGATATTACCGGTAAGGAATTTTTTAATAAATTCTTTATTTTGTGTTTCTTTACGGTCTTTTTTAACTTGATCTTTTTTTGTTTTCTTTTCGGGAATGGTTTGATCGAGCTTATTCAATACATTTAGCAGGGATACTTCAAGATTACCAAGGAAATTTACAAGCGATATTTGCGAATCAGATTGCTGAATATAGAAACTTGCACAGGAAAAATTACTGAAAATTGGAGCAACTTTTCGGCAATTTGCAGCTCCATTGTCACTTGGGGCTTCACTTTCATTTGGTGCTTCATTGTCACTTGGGGCTTTATAATTGTTAGTGGTATCAATTTCGTTGGCAGCCTCAATTTCGTTGGCGGCATTAATTTTGATTTTGTTGGCAGCATCAATTTTGTTGGCGGCATCGATCTCATCAGCAGCTTCAAAAAATGTATTAGTTAATATCCAAAATTAAATAAACAAACTATACTATATAAATTTTACCTTCTATTGCATTTTTTGAGATTTGTGCCAAGGCACTAAAAAATCTTCCAAAACCTTCTTGTTGCATGACAGATTTTGGTCTTTCATACGTGGCAAGACCCTTCTGTGACTTGTGTCTCGTGATTGACATAGCCATGGCATCTGAATACCCAAGTTCTTTTAGCAACTGCACTGCAGTTTTTCGCCCTGAATGATTCGATATATTACAGGTTCCAATTTCGATGCTTGTTGCTTCGCAAATGAGCCGAAAATATTCTCTTAATGTTTGCTTGCCAACCGCATATTTGTAAAACCAATATCTACTAAACTCAGCTTAGATGAAAAAAATATTAGAATATAAATTTCGTAGATATTATATCCGTAAAATCATATACTGGAAAAAAATAAAACGACTTACTAGAATTTATTAGCATAGGCTTTAAGTAAAAATTTGTCACAGCTATTACCGGGTGCTTCATAAAATATAATTTGTAATCATCAATAATACTTTTGATTTTGGGCAAGCTGATTACTTCTGCTTGTACATCATAGTCACCAAGCTCTTGCTAGTTAGTTTTTGATCTAAATAATTTGACATCAATTCCACTGTCAAATCTTTTAACAAAGTTGTTAATTTGAAGACCATGATGCTCGCCCCCACGCAATGTTAGCAAAGTTGAATTGTAAAAAAAAATCCGTTGTAACAGTCCTTCTGCACTATTATATTGCATTATAGGGTGGTTGAGAATATGTTCAACCTCATTCATTGTCAAAGCATCTGCCCCAGTACGTTCACCATACCCTTTAGCCGAAAGACTCTTCAACTTTTATTAATCGCTTGATTCAAATCGAAGTAAACCTTGGGATTTAATATTTCAACAGGTTTTTCCATCGCTGAATACTAATTAAGATATTGCTATATTGCCACCAAACAACATCTTATCGAAGATGTATAGTATTCTTAACCGTCCCGTTGTTTCATTGCATACACAAATTTTGATAATTGGTCTTCCAAAATCATTTTTGATTCTACTTCCTCGATTTTGCCTTCATAATCGACGTTAGCACGAAATTCTTCTAATGCCTTAATCCACTAGTTGGTTGCCTTGTGAGTAGCTTTGACCTTTGAGTTTTCACAAAGTGTTTTTAATTCGTCTACAGAAGGTTCTGTGTATTTAACTCGCTTGTCTTTATTAGACTTTGTTGGTGCAAACACAGACTTTCTTTTAGATATTATAAGATGACCGTGATTACAAAAAAGTTTATTTTTTATTTTATTTTTTTTTGGGAGGTTTTTTTTTATTTATTTATTATTTATTTTTTTGTTTATTTGATAGTTTAAATATGATCAAGTAAGAATTACAGCCTTAAGACCTTGGACAATTAGCACCAGCAACATAAACGATGACCTCAAATTCTCATTCCAACAATCTAGATCTTAGTAATAGCGGCTACAAGATTTAGTAAGGGTGACTTTAAACTTTTGATAACTAGCACTTTGAAATTCGACAACAATAAAAAGTATTTTAAAAAATTATACTACGTTTAAAAATTTTTTTTTGTTCGCTTTAAAAAGAAAGAGATCTATTTTATATTAATTTACTATCTTTTTTTTTTTAAATCTAATTTGTATTTATAGGGGGGAGAGGATCGGGGCCATGATTATAAATTGCTGGTTAAAGCCTGATTTGTCTTTATTTAATCTGTGATTAATTATAAAAAACATTTATCAATTGGTGGAATTAAAGTCAGTAAATCAAGTCTACAAACTAACATAAATGCTTGTTTACTATCTATAATGCCATATTTGTACTAATCATCTTATTCGAACCTGTGTTATAAAGGTTATAAAAAACATTCATTAACTACAAGACAAAAAAAAAGTAGATCAGAAAATATTACAGAAATATCAGGTTCTGATTTTGTTGATTTTGGTGCCCATCATGATAGCAACAGAGACATATTAGATGCTAATAGAGCTATCAGAACTGATATGTGTCTGATATCTCTATCAGCATCTAATATGTCTCTGTTGTTGTCACGATAGATGCCAAAGATCAACAGAAAACCAAGCCTGATATTTCTATGATATTATTTAAGTTTAAATAAAATTTACCTTTGATACCAGTAATTTGCTTTATGTAAATCTCTTGTTATTCTACTTCCATTTCGATAACATTCTTTTAGCGAGACCTATCTTATTCTTTTTACTCTATTTCATTTTAATAACAAACACCTGGTTTGACTATTAAAGCAAAAATCGATTAGCTGCTACTTTATTCTAATATCATTAGAATTGAATAATTTTTACCTTTATCTTTGTTTAGTTGAAATCTTAGTTGCAATGACTCCCAAACTTTAAATATCTGATGCCTAGTTGACTTACAGGTTATATATGATAGAATACTACAGAATTTTCTCTCTTTTACTTTTCTAGAAAGTCCAAGATTAGTGATATATACGTCACTTAAAGCTTTTTCTTGTAAAATATTTCAACTGTATAAATCTCTGTGAGTGAGTTCCTACGAATAAATTAACTCGCTATACAATATATAACTTTTATTCTAATTGTGATACTTGTATAAGGTTTTGATATAATGAACCTTTAATAACAATAATATACTGTAATTACTATAAGTATTTCATAACTTCTAAAAACAGTTCAAGAAAAAAAGATTCTCGCACCCAATTTCACTCAATTCCTAGTTATATTTTTGTTTGAATCATGAATTAACATTTCACCACATACTATAAATTCAATATACCCAATATATGATTGAAATCCTATTCGTTGTTTCATTTAGAATTCGTGAAAGATCCTGTAAATTGTTACAATTGAGTAATATTGTTGGTTATTAGAGCTAAAAAACTAAATTTTTTCTGGCTGCTTTTCAAATATAACACATATATCAGATAGTTACAATATACAATAACTTAAAATTATGTACATATAATATGGTTGCATTTCAAGTTTGAAATATTTAAATTGGTATTTTGTACAATAAAAAAGGGTTAAAGCGGACATTACATATTACTTTGTACATAGATGCTTATTTACCATTATGTAATATTTGTAAGTATGAAGTTAAAATTAACAAATCAAGTTTAGATCTAGTGGGAGTATTGTAAAAAGTTAGTTTAGGAGTTTTGAAGACTAGTAAAATCAAAATATTAATAATCTAATTAATATGAGGTTTATCATAATAAATCTCACATTGCTCCAAAGTAAAGTTCATTAAAAGAAAAGATTGACATTTAATAATTTTATAATCAAAACCTCATGGTCTCTCTCTATCATTTGTACTACTTTATCATGGTATTTGGTTAAAAAATTTTTGACTTTACTTATAACCTGAAATTTTCAATTTGGATACTATCATATGTAATCTGCGTCATATTTTAATATAGAAAATTCTTCTGTTGTGTGATGGATTATCAATTAAGAAACTTTTGTAAAGCTTGTCAAGATGTATTTAATAGTGGTTAAAGTATTAAAATCGGCCTGGTGGGTGCTAAGATATCTTTAAAAAAAATATTTCTTTTACTATAAAAACTTCTTTACAAACAATAGTATTGTTTGCAAAAAAGTTTATATAGTAAAAAAAACATTTTTTAAAGATATCTTGGCACCTACCTAGCTAATTTAGACTTTTTAACCACTATTAGATACATCTTGACAAGCTCTACAAAAGTTTTTTAAGTTAGAAAGATGATTAACTTAGTATAAAAAAGTTTTAGATATACATATGCTATATTTGGAAACCCAATTTTTATAAGTAATTTAAGTCATAATCACTCTCTGGTTGACTAGTAGATCACTAATTAAGTAATTTTATTTCTGATTTTTACTATATATGGTCTTTAATTGTTATATAAATTATAAATTAAACTATATAAATTATTTGCTTGAATTTGATTGGTTGGTTTAGTATTAGGTGGGAAAGAGAAGTACTCTTTTAAGAAGCAGAAATCACCTGATAAATGTCTATACTTTTAAAATAATAATTTACTAACAAAACTTTTTAATTACTTTTATATAAAGCTTTGCTTTAATATATAATTTTCTTTTTTAGCTATATACTATTTTTAGATATTTTATTAGCCAAAAACCTATTTATAAAGTAGTATTATATTTGCTAGTAAGCAAGCTATATCAGAAAATTTTTTTATTGTAGTTCTGTACAGATTTGTAAAAAAATTAAATAATAATCAAATAAAAATTTGAGCAAAACTTTAAAATTTATACTATAAATGCAGAAATTAGATACAATTCTGTGCAAGACTTCAAATTCCAAAAAATTTTGCAGATTTTTTACAATAATTCTTTAAAAATTTGCAAAAATACAGATTTTTGCAAATTTGACTTATTTAATTTTTTCCAATATATATAGTTGCTAGTTATTTTAATTTAAAATAAGTAAACAATATTACTATATATTTCTGAAATAAGCTACCTTTTTTTAGAGTTCCTATCCATTATCTATTATCCATTTATCTATTGGATATCCAGATCTGAAATTATTCGGATATCTGTTTTACTATTGATATTTGGATAATTATTCGAATATTTGTTGGATTATCAGAATACCAATAGTAAATAGATATCCAGATAAATTCAGATATGAATAAATGGATAACGGATTTATCTGGATTGGACCTCTACTTTTTTTGGGCAAAAAAGTGATACAAAAATTATGAGAGTACCTTATTTTTAAGTACAATTTCGAAAAGTTGATTTTTTATTATTTTTTAAAATCTGAAAGTAGTTTTTATATATAAAAGTCAAAATTCTATTAAATAAATTGATAAAGTCACTTAATAGAAGTTGTTTAGAATGTAAAAATATATATATCTTAAAAGTTTCAAGCAAATTGGAAAAATTTTTACTAAGATATTTTTGCATTTTATATTTAAACATAAAATACAAAAACATCTTAGTAAAAAGTACTTCAATTTGCTTAAAACTTTCAAAATATGTGTATTTTTATATCTTGAACAATTTCTATTAAGTGTTCTTTATTTATTTACTTAGTAAAAGTTTGGCTTTTGTATATAGAAACTACTTCTAGATTTTAAAAAATTATTGGGGTAGCTTATTTTCAAAATATATGGTAATTGTTTGATAGAGATAAGCTATTTTAGTGAAAATTTTGTTAAAAATACAAGTAAGTAAGAGTAAAAAGAATAAATTTTATATTATTTTTAAAAGAAAGTATGTTTTTTTTCAAACATAATAAAATATATAAAGCTAAATATATTATTGATTTTTTTGTAATAAGTAATAAACTTTGAGCTTGTTAGCAAGTAGAATATAAAACCTACTTCTAAATAACAAATACTATTTCTATAGTAAGTGATAAGCTCTAAACCTATTAGCAAGTAGTATATAAAAAATATCTCTAAATAGCAGGTGCCAATTTATAGTTTTCTTTAGATTTAAATTTTTTTTTATTATTGTTTTATAGTTTTGTTAAAAAATTTTTATTGTTATATTTGATAAAAGTAATCATTAAAAAAAATCATCAAAGTTTATTTTTTTCATATTTTTGTTATTGTTTTTTAATATATTTTCTTTGTTTTTATCTGCCTCTTTGAAGAAAAAAAAATTAAAAAAGAATAAAGATGATTATAACAAGATGCAAGTTCTAATATAGTTAATAGTATTAAGCCTTTTTATAAAAAACAAACTTAACTAGTAGAACTTGCTATAGCAAATTATTTTTAAATATTTTCAAACTGAATAGTTATTCTTTTATAGTAATTTAGTTTAAACATTATATGAATTTGTAAAAAAATATATATAAATAAAGTTGTAATTCTAGAGTAAAGTAGCTTGACCTCTACTTTCTCTAACAATTATATAAAATTAGCAAATTTAGCTTGTAAAACTACATAAAGAATTTGAGAAAAACCTTTTACAAAAAATAATAAAAAATACTATAAATAAAGTTGTAATATAACTGTTGAAAATAAATATATATACAGTATATAGTTGACCTATACAATATTATAATACTTTTTTTTAAAAGTTTAATTATAATTATTTTATATTTTATTTTTAAATTTTTTACTATATATTTTATCTCTAAATTATTATATTCAAGTTTATTTCATCAACTATCAAAAAACAAAATTACAAAAGTAAATGAAATATTGTGAATTAAATAAATTTGTAATTTTATAAATGAATAAATAATCAAAAAATAACAAATGACTAAATATATACATGCTTAATTAATCAGAATTTTTAGAATTGTATAGAATACAAAAAAAAAAATAATAATTCATTTGGTAGGATTTTCACCATCTTTACTATGTCCTAATTTTAAATTCATAAAGCGTGATTTCTGGTGCTGATAATCTCCACTATCTCTAAATGATGAGCGCCTACTTCCTGTACTCGAGTCATTGTCTGTCTTATTATCTTGTCCAAAAATTATTGATGAAAGTGATGAGATGCTTGATGAAATACTTCTGCGGAACTCGTGAAAGATCCCGTGGGATTTTCGCTTTTGATTCACTTTAGAATCTTCTTCGATTATGTTAGATTCAATTTTGCCTTCAGGCAATTCATTGGTAATGTTGCCACTTTTACAGGAATCCCCATCGTTTGTATTCAACGCCTGAACCTCAATTTGATCATCCTTATCATTATCAAGCTTTTTATTAAACAATTCTCGCAAAGATACTTTTGCTTCATGAGTTAAGGATTTCACATTTTTTCTGAACGTACTCGAAAATTTTGTAACGTGACGATCTACATAATCAATTTCCCTGTTGATCATATTACTGGCATCATGTACAAATTGATGATAAACTAATGCCAGGTCAGCAAACCGCTTGACTTTATATTTGGCAATTAGATGTTTCTCCATCATATCGTTTGGATAAGTCAACTTTGCATTACTCAAATCAACATTTTCGTCTTTCAATCGATTGACAATAGCGCTGAAATGAATTTGAGAAGGCTTATAATGGCCGGATTTTGGATTAAGCTCCATTAATTTTCCATGTTGAGCTTTGATTCCACCAGCAGCAGCAATTGCGCCTCCAGCTAAAAAAGATGAATGATGAAAATGTCCTTTCTTTTTTTGGCCCACATAAAAATTCCCATGACAGTCCGTAACATAGATCCATTTTTCACGTTTTCCTGACGGACGTCGACGAAGGGTTGATGAAACATTCTCGTCATCATCAGCGTCATTAATGCTAGGTGCGGGCGAAGGATCTCGACTTACATCGAGATCTACATCGAGATCTGTTGATGTGTTCAGCGCGTCATCTTCTGGTGCATCTGTTGAATTTGTGTGAACTGGATTTCCGCTTTTCTTATATATTAATAATCCGTCTTTGAATGTAACTTCAAAATCAGCACGCTCTATTTTTGAAAGATATTTTACTCTCTCACTTTCGAGCTTACAACGTGGACGAGCTTTAAGATCCAAATTTTTGCCTCCGCCTTCGTCTAGCCAAATGAAAAAACTTTCAGGTGTTGAAGTTTTTAACCAATAATCATGATAAATCTTTGAGAGGTAAAATTAAAGAAATAGTTAAAAAATAATAAAGAGCTTGTCTTCAATATTTGTTTTCAGTGGTATAAAATGCTAACCTTTAAATTTGCTCCATATCTATGTTTGTCGTCACAGATCTCTAACCAGTGCTCTGTATCCAATACAAGCCACATATGATCTTTAACTTTACATGAGCCCTGATTTATCGAAGATTAAAAATTATGTCATTATCAATTTGATGAAATAAAATAAAAAGTGATATTTACTTTTCCAATGCGCTCAACAACATTGACTGCAAATGCCATTTTTGAATCTTTCCGATGCATTTGGCTTTCAACGGTATTTAGTAGTTCCTCCCATTTATTCCATACTGGGCATGAACCATCATCGAGCAAATGCAAGCAAGCTTTTTTGTCAGAATGAAGTTTATCACGAGATTCGGAAGATAATACTTTGCCTTGTTTTTCTCTCCGTGTTCTAAAAGGATTCAAAATTAATAACCAAAAAGAATGCGCAAGTGCTTGTGAGTAGTTACCTATGATTTCGCCAAGCTTTTGCAATTATACTCGCCTTTACATTCATTTCAACATCCATATTTTGATTTGAGGTGTCTTGACTTTCAGTATTTTCTTGGGCGTTTGTAGGTAGTGTTGGAATCACACCATTTTTATCGACGGTATGGGGAGGTGTTTGCGGTTGCGTCATTGTTTTTAACGGTCCGTTTAATATTTGTATTTTTTTTCTTCGCTTTGAAACCTTTAAATAAAAAATCCAAACCACATGATTATTCGTACGTATCACGCGGGCCTGCGGCAGCACAATACAATAATCCTGTTCAGCAATCCTGTTTCTTCTGCTTACAGTATTGCTTACCAAATCAGACTAAACTTGCAAGGCATACGGACATATGTAATTCCGGCCTCCTGTCACAATAACAATTGTAACTTTTTAGAAAAAAAATAGGAAAGCATTAAAACTGATACTTTGGCTAATTCATTTTAGCTTATCTGAATACTTTAATTATTTAGAAACGAAAAAAAGTAAAAGGAATGGATTATCAAATTCGCATAAAATTTTGAACAGTCGACGATCTTGTGTGGTTCTATTAATATTTTTGTCAAAATGTTATTCGAAATTCATGTGTTTCTTTAAAGCAATCAATAACCTTTTTTGGTTAGAATCGGTTCATTAAAGAAAAGACTATTCCGGATTGGATTAACAATGTTAATATCGTCCATTATTATCATTATCGTTATAGCTGACTCACTTTGTTAACGTTAAATCCGTCCGGCCGATCTAATCTCCAGGATCCGCGCCGTCAATATTACGGCTTAAAAGCTGAAAATCAATTTTTTTTCCAAGAATATTTGTTAAAAATTAAAGTCTACTTTATTGTAAAAGTAACATACCTTCCAAACTTTAATATTCCGGTATCGGTACTTGTATTAGGTTCTTAAAGACATGTTACTTTTTGTCCAAAAAACTGTCGAAAACTGAATTATGTCAAACCGATTTTAATTAATGGTTTTTGGTAAAAAAAAAAAATTATTTTAAAAATTAGTTATTTTTGTAATACTTTTTGTTGCTGGATTTGGGATAATTTTCAGATGAGAAGCATCTGAGAACTATTCTCAAAATGTCAATTTCACGTTGAGTTTTTTTACAAAAATTTTTTTCTTATATGCATTGACACGCTTATCTTAACTCCGTAAGGTGAATTTTCGAATTCGTTTACACTGATAAGTAGGGTCGGGTTCGAGGTAGGACCGTCCATGTTACACAAGCGATCCTATTGATAAAAAATTTTTTTTTATACGTTTTACAATACTTTTTTAGGAAGCTCGGGTAACCTAACTTCATAGTAAAGGGGGAAAAGTGAATTAAGCAAACTTGAAGCTTTCGCTTTGCCCTACAACATATTCACTTAATTCAACTTAATCCAACCGTCTTCATACTTTTTTTGCTTGCTAAAGTCATGTCTGAAATTAAGAAATGCGGACACTGCAAAGCCACTGAGTCGAATAGATTTTGTTCTTTGAAAGCAAGTAAATAGGAAGAGGCTGAACGTAGAGGCTTAATACAAGAAAATTGGGAAATAGGTATTATCTTATGTAATAAATGTTATATAAGTTATGTTGAAAATTCATTACAAAAAGCTGCTAAAAAAGTAAAAGTTTTAGTTGAAGAGGTAGATTCTGTAGGTATGGTTGATCTTGTTGGAGCTATCAAGGCAATGGTGAAAATCTTTTATGAAAGAGAACATGCAACAAGCAAAGGTCTTGTTATTCATATGATGAATTACAAGAAGTGTTTCAAGCTAATCAGGGCTTAAAAGAGTTTCTTGATTAACTTTATTTGGTGGCTAGACCTCTTGAACATACTGAGCAGACCATGGGCTGTATAAAAAAATTAATAGTTCATATTTGTTATCTTCTTGTATCATTAAATAATACTAAAATTAATGCTTTTAAGTTTGATTTAGCATATTATTTGAATTCTGTAGGTACGAGTAATGAAGGTTTGGATACAATAGCAAATCTTGGCATAATGACAATGTCAAGATTAGTAGATCGTAGAAAAAAAAAAATTGCAGACACTCATGATAAATATGTAGAAAATGCTCTTTCAAAATATTTGGACAAAGCCTTTGTGTTGAATATTGATGACTATCATAATATTCATATTCCGCGGCAATCTGACACTACTAGTATGTCTCGTCCAACACACATGGTGACAATTGTGGCTAATCCATGTTTAATGCTGGCAATATCACATAACGAGGCATTCAATCCAAAATTTATTGATAGTGAGCTTATAATAAAACACCTCGACAAGCAATTTATTATAAACCTTGGTATTCCTTATCATGAGCATTGTCAAAATTATAGAGATAAGTGTTCTGATAATGAGCTTATTGAACAACTAACATTGCATAGTTATAACGATAGGTTGGTAGAAAAAAAGAGTGATCAATATATACAAAATGTCATTCTTTTTGACTTCGTTAGAAGTAATCTGAAAAGGGTGGAAGATTATACTAAAGCACTTCAAATTGTGTATAATCAAGAATTGATGCAAGAATATCTTTTCAACCATGTAATCCTTATCGTTGCAGACTAGCCTGGTCAATTCTTTATTCGTAAAGCTATTGCACATCAGATTCTACTAGAAAATGAGATAATTCTTTCGTTTGTTACGTTGTTTTTGCCTATTATGGGCCTCTTCATGTATCATTGAATAGTCATGAACTTGTTTTTAAGCAAAATTCATGTCTATTTAATGATATTTACAAGGGTATATTTGGGAAAAAAAAGAATCTTGAAAATAAGCCACGGCCATGGCAAATCGACTTGATGCTTCATTTTATGCGTATGGCATAGCTTGACATAGCTAATATAGTTTATTCAAAGTTTGGTAATACATGCAAGAATATTGAATTTTTATATCTAACTGATCTTTTGAGTAATTTAATTCCCCTAGTTCTTGACGTTTATGCGGTACACTATCGAGGAGGTAACTGGGCAGCTTATGAGGAAACTTGCTTATGTTGTTGGAGTGATCTATTTCTTTGATTTGATCGAAGAAATTATAAACGTGCTTCTTTAATGTTTTTTTCTGATATATTTTTTTGGATGGATACTAATCATCCAATGATGAATATGATTACTAATCATCTCGCATCTTTAAGTGATTGTCCTGTAGAAACAGTTCATAGTATAATTTGATAACATATGGCTAAATTCTTCACGGCAGATCAATTGCAAAAAGAGACACGCTTTATATTTCAAAATCAAGAGGATAACGCTTTTCGTCAAAATTTCGTAAATCCTATAAAATACCCTTACAAACCGAAGCAATTACATATATTATCCCGAAAATGTGCCACGTTTCTTTTAGAAATTTTCATGAAGATGTATAACGCACGCCACCTGTATCCTTTGATTATTAGTTCATCTGATGATATTAATATATATAAGTTGCCTTCTTTAGGCTATGAAATAACTAATCGGCATCTTTCAAGAGGCTTTGTTATCTCCAAGAAACTGTATACAAGTGTTTTATATGATTTTTTTTACTGCGATTGTACTAACTACACTAATTGTTATAATAGTGGTATTGTTCTTGCATATAGGCATGGCTATCATAACTGTTGCTTACAAAGATGTAGTTTTAAGTATTTAATTTGTTTAAACTACCTTAGAGATGAAATTAAAACTAACGTCACAGCACTTATGGTAAGTATGATAAAAGATTTAGGCAAAAATGAATTTGTTGATGAAAGTACTGAAAATACTGTTGAAGATGAGTCAGACGATACTAAGGCAGTATTGAGTGATATAGAAGTAGAGAATAATTTATTAGAAAATACAAAAAATGTTTTTTTAAATCTTAAATAAATTTTTTTAATTATTATATGTAATTTTTTAAATCTTAAATAAATTTTCTTAATTATTATGTAATTTATTATAAATTTTTAATAAATTCCGTGATATCTTAAAATTATTTTATATATAAATTTTTATGGGATAATTTATACACTGTGCCTCGCGATGTTGCCGCATCCCTGCAGATCATAAAATTAGGTGTAATGTGAAATCAAAACAACCCATTTTTTTGTTAGCTA